AGTAGTAGTAGTAGTAGCAGCAGCAGCAGCAGCAGTAGTAGTAGTAGTAGTAGTAGTAGTAGTAGTAGTAGTAGTAGTAGTAATAGTAGTGGTGGTGGTAGTGGTAGTGGTAGTGGTAGTGGTAGTGGTAGTGGTAGTGGTAGTGGTAGTAGTAGGTGTTATAGAAGCAGTAGTAGTAATAGTGGGGAGGCAAACTGCAAAGGTAAAGACGCATCGGGGGCGTCGCTGTGTCCACCAGCCGGCCACAAAAACAGGCTCTGCTCAACTCAGTGCACCCGCGAACTGCACGGAAGCGGGGCGGGAGCAGCTCCCCCTGGACCGCCCGGGGCGCCCGGCCCACAGAGGTCAAAGTCGGGCGGGCGCACCCCGCCGCAGGAGGGCTCGGAAAGCAATTGAAATATATGTCCGAAGCCTCTTAAGACGCAGGAAGGGAGATGCTGGCGGGGGGGGAGGAGGCGGAGGACGAGGAGGAGGAGGAAGACTTGGCGGGGCAGCTGCACAAAAGGCGCCCGAGGTCTACCGCTGCCCCCAGCTCCCCCCCCCGCCCCGCACGCTGCCACGCCGCCCGGCTCCGCGCAGCTCGCCCCGCGAAGCTGCTGCGTGGAGGCGCGCATGTCGCAACAAAATATCAATCGGGGATGGACAGAACTCCCTTCAGCAAAACGTGGCTTCGTGAAAACAACTTCGGGCCCAAATCTGGCGGGCACACGCCTGGGAAATGACGGCCGCGGCGCCCTCTCGACAACCGAAAACGGACAATTCACAAATCGACGTGTCAAGGTGGGGGTTCTGTCCACCCCCGAACCAAGGAGATCATTTGGGGGTGTGTCGCGAGCAGCCAGGCGGGCAGAAGGGCGTCTCGCGCAGCGGCGCCAGGAAAGACCGCAGCCAGACAGAGAAACCGAGCATCCTGTGCCTGTTGGCTCTGGTGCAGAGGGCGTTGGCAATCACAAGACAAGAAAAATGAACACGTCGCCTGGTTGAACACCCTTTGCCCTGGCCGTCCCGCGGTTCTCGGCGCCTCGCACGCCCTCCACCTGCTGCAGGGGCTGTCCAGCTGCAGGGATCCTGAAGCGTGGACAACGGCCCAAGCTTGAACGCTCGATCCTTGCCCCACAGAGGCGGGCGAACACGGCAAGAATTAGGGACACGCAACATGGCATACACCCAAACACTCGGAGGTCCGCACGGATTTCTCGGATCGGCGCTAGACCCCCTCCCTGGCGCGCGGGGCGCGCCAAGGGCGGCGCCAGAGGCGGCGCCAGGGGGGTCTGGCGCGGATCCGAGAAATCCACGCGGTCCTCTGAGTTGTGATTTTTTTATGTCATTGTTCGTTCCTTCTTTTAAAAAAGGATAGCGTCGGAATCATAATCGCAAGGGGAGAGAAGTGAGAGGCGAGGAGCAGTAGTGCACACTGATCACAGCGAGGCCTCCAGTGCTGGATGGTGCACGGGAAGGCAGAGAGAGGATGATGATAATGATGATAAGGATGATGAGCATGATTACGACGACGGTGCTTCTCCTCCCTCCGGATTCGGAGGGGAACGTCAGGGGGTGCCCGGCTCAGGGGTGGAAGCATATTCTAAATCCCTTAGTAATCGACCCCCTCCGAAAAAAAAACGGCCCCCCCTCCAAATGCTACCTACAATTCCGGACCCCCTCTTCGACGGGGCGCCTCAGTAAGCCGGACCCCCTAAGATCCAATCCAAAGAAACGCCCTAATAAACTGGACCCCCCAATTACAAAAAAAGGCGCCCTTAAAAACCGGACCTGGCAGTACAAGCCATGCGCCATGCGGCGCGTAGGGGAAATTGGTCATAAAATTGGAGCGCGGCGCGCCAAACGCGCGCAGGGTATGAGAAAGCATACCAAACGCATGCATGGCGCGACAGACGCGCCAAACACGTGCCAGAGGAAGGAAGGGAGGGCGAGGGGGAACGATGGATGAAGTGAAACAGATTTTTGGCATGCGTTCCCGCTAGAGCAAATCGTCCTCGCCAGTGCCGAAAGCGAACTCAGCACATAACTCTCGCCACTTTATCTGATCCCGCGCGGCCTCGTACAGGCGTTGATCAGAGGAGAACCGACACCGAACTTTACGATATAGTTCCTTTGTCCACTCAGGTCTGGGTCTCCCGACTGGTCGTTTACATGATTCGGTCGCCGGTCGTGGGCTGCTCGGCTGAAATGTGAGTTGTCGCAAAGCATCTGTGTCATGTGATCGGCAAGTGTTCCCAAACAATACCAACTGCTGTCGTAATAGC